GTCATCATTTGATGATTTCGTCTTCAGCAGAAGATACAATCTGCAGCTGAAGATGAAGTATTAAGAATTTCTGCCTATAAGAGACCAAAGTAAGGTAAGCTGGCGAGTAACACATTAGTTCTGTCTCTTATTTATAAATATATATTTAATCAAGCTGTATTTCTTTACTTGTGAGGTAAGAATACCACCTTTTCGATTTATGTAAAGAAACCTTTTCACATAAATAGAATGATCAATAATTACTGACTACCTATAGCATATCATAGGTTATGTCTTTATGTTTGTCTTTCTGTAATGGTACTTACAAAGAATGAAGGTATTCCATTTTAAAAGATACTAAAGGGTGGATAGTAAATGACAACATCGTTTTTATGCTAATAGATGTGAATGAGCAATGAAATGTTTCATATGGGTAGTTCTTATTTCTCTAATAAAGCTGTTATTGTTTTTTAGAAGCTCGAGAAACCGAATAAGTCTCGATGATTGCCGATTATTATTAAATCTTACTAATTCTCTTATCTCTATAAAAACTTTAGACAAAGGTCCCATTTGAAATGATACTTCGATTACCTGATCAATTGAGACAATATTCATGTACAAGCACAAGTTAGTAAGATCTAACATTTCTTTCTAAAAGGAATGCACATCCGAGATGAGCCAAAATCTTCAGAGTAAACGAGTAAAAGCAGTGCGGTTTAAGAAGTAATCTACAAGCCAGTCTTACGTTTCTGTTGTCTGCGCGATCGCAGTAAACTGTCAATACAGTTTAAGCCACTGATTCGGCGAAATAAAATATAGTGGTAGTGCGGTAATGACTAGGTTACGTCGGAAATTGTGTTAAACCTCAAATGAATAGTTACGGTTATTAGTAAAGGTTTAGGTAGTGATGTATTAATTAAAAAATCTAACCAAAGTGGTTATGACCAAGTTGGACTTTCTTATATTACGACTACATCCTATTGTCTTTATGCCAATATTATGTACTGACAGTGCGGCTGAATGATACATTTTCATATCAAAGTCTAACGATCTTTATCGACATTAACCAATGAATATATCTTTATGTAAATGTGTAATGTGTATATATTGATGGTGAAACTTATAACACACTTTCCTGCTTCCTAGGAAGATTTTTCAATATTTTCATCGTATCAAGCTAAAAATTAGTCACCTACCTCAAAGGTAAGATTTCCTATATCGTCTCTAATATAAAGCATTATGTAGTATACAGCAGTATAGGTAAACTGTTAAAAAAGTATAATAAGTAAATTGTTAAACATAATAATTTCTGGATATAATTCAAAGAGCATATTAAAATTCATGAATGTATGAAAGCTGAAGCCCTATGATGAAGTACTTCCAAATATAGTTTGATACTAAATCTTCACCAGTTTGATAACGTTGCATACTGGCAGAATTTCTATGTTTATTAATAAAAGTATGGACATTTTTTCTATAAATCTTTGCTTTCAATCAACTACTCGTGAATACTAATATAATTAAATGAGGTTCATGTCAATTACTACGTTCCTTTTGGACAATTTTCTCTATCGCATTTGATGTTAACCGAATGTGGTTAAATATTTTATTTAGAAACATTGTCAGTTTTTGTAGATTAATGTGAGACATTACGGCTTTTAATTTGTTGCTGTAATATTTATCTTATTATTAAAGTCTTGCATAAAATAAGATGATTTCTGCTAAAAACAAGGTACGCAGAATACATGTGTGTACGGGTTGTGTTTGAATATACTTTCTTATTTCAGAAACACCCTGTATAGGCATGAATACATATGGTACGAATCAAATGTTGTGTCGTATCTGGAGTTACAGCAGGTTGACGACCCTATTAAAAAACGATTCATACTTCGAAAAATCATTAAAATTATGAGAGAGCCGTTTCTTTATAAATTACAAGTCAAGCTGATACAGTAATGCAGTACCAAAGGGACCGTCAAAGGCTTGTGTGGCTCCAGCCGCCCACAAAAGATAAAAGACAGTATATAGGAGGCAATTTAAAAGTGAGTTCGATGTCAGCAGAAGGACCTGCCTCTTGATGCGCTTATGACTTTAAGGGCGATTGAGCTAATTTCGCTCTTTGAAACGGTTATATTGACGATCTTTTTATACTTTAATGAAAGGAAGTTGAAAAAGATTAAAAGGTGCTGAAATAAATTACGAGTCCTGATCAAGAACGTTGTACAACGAAAAGGCACTGAACTGAAGATTCTAGAGAACTTTCTTTTCTGAACAAATTACTTCCAGTTTTTATTATTAGTTACTATTTATTTACTTATTTGTTTTGAATTTCTACCATATTTCGGTTATCTCTTTTCCATGTGGAAACAAGAAAAATGATACGTTCATTCTTACATATTATTTATTGCGGGCTTTGCCAATTTCGATAGTCCCAACTACACTGTGGACAAAGAAGATNCAACAAAGAAGATGCTTCTCGTAAACCTATACCTTATCTCTCAATTGGGGTTTTGTTTTCAAATCCGAATGTAGTAACTCATATGAACAAACGGGTCGTCTCGTGTTCAACGAAGTTTGGAAGTGCTTTATTATTTAGTCTATGAGAGTCGATGACAACTACAAATACCTTCAGTCATCCCTTCATGTACGTAAATGAGAAGTAATATAAGTCAATTAAATACAAATTAAATCTTTCGGAGGTTGTTACGGTTTGTTCAAAAGATTTTAAAAGTTTAGGACAGTTTTTAGCGAAGCAAGTGATATTTTCCGATAAATGCGGTTGATAATTTTTGTTCTATTTATACTTATGCGTTTTCGTTCGCAAAACAAAAAGACAATATTCCTGCTTGTATATGTATAAAAAGTATCTACTTACCTGGTCAGTTATTTCACTTATAAACGGTCACTTTATTTTGGAACTTTTACACAAATTCGGATTAGTTTAGAGGTTCGACAGTATGGAAATAAAAAAATTGATTCATTTCAAAAAAATGGTATTATTTGTATTTGTTTGTTATAAAACATCTTTTATAAATCTATAATATATCATCGTATTTTCACATTACCGATATAAAAATTAAAAAGCTTGAGAACTGTACAGTTACCTGCACTATCACACTGAGTGAGATAACCCTTACCACTAAAATCCATTAAAATAATTAAAAAAAAAAAAAACAGTCTCTTGACCGGCGTATACGACATACAAGAAGACCTAACTTTGAATTTTTAAGAATACAAATCACTGAGATCACATACAGTCACCTTTGGTGCGAGAACGCCGGTTGAAAATACTGATTTCTTGCAACCATTCCTCAGCGGAATTTGCACCCCATTCGAGCAGAGTCGAAAGGGGGCAAAATGCCGAGGTGAACACCGGCGACCGCGCTTACAAAAAAAAATATTTTACCGTAACTAATATCACAAACTTAAACATAAATTCTCAGGTCAAAATTTAATCGGAAAACACATCATCTTATCACCGACACAAAATAAATTCGTCGTTACAAAACCCCTCGAACGGGGTGGCACAGGCATGCTCCTACTACGCCTCCTCACAAGATTGTTGATTTTTATTGCGATCCTTAAATTTCTACGAATTTTAGTTTTTTGTAATTATTAATATACATTTAGAGTCCCTACGTGTATCTACTATCACACCTGAGGAAACCGCACGCGGTCGGTATCCCACATTTAATACTACGGACAACAATATTATTAAATGATGAGAATATAATATATATATATATGATGAGTGACAATGAGAAATTAACTTAAAAATCATTTCGCAGTATAAAAACAAACACGATTATTTATCCATGAATATTTATGAGATGATGCGGTGATCGTTTTACTTTTTTTAATATTCAGTCTTGGCATATAAGCAAAGCGACGGACTCGACGATTCGGGCTCTCCGTTTGCCGATTCAGTCGACGTACGATCTATACAATTTCTTCTTTGTTAATTCATATTCAGAACTGATCATTACCGTGCCGCCTCGCGTTATTTTTCTGAAACAAAAGAAAATTAAATTGTAGACAAACAACATAGGACGTGGCATATATAATTAAAGTCGAAAAGTAACTATTATTAAGACACCTTCCGAATCTGGGTTACAAGCAAACGACAGTTAACTCTTTTAACTGTTAGTGGATCTCATGAACTGCTAGCGTTAACCCAGTTCAGGCGTGCAACATCATCATCATATCATCATAACGCCGTCAGTCCTAAGACCGGTCGGACACGCACCTCCACTCTTTCCTGTCCTAAGCTGATCTTCGCATTTCCCTAAAACTATTAGCACATCCCAAGTCCTTAACTCTTCTAATCCTCTTAACTCCTATTTCTGCCTCTCATATGTCTCTGACTAGACCTTCATGCCTGAGAAGGTGTCCCACCAACCTATCTTGCCTATTCCTTATCGTCCTCTGTTCTCCTATTCTTTCTAAAACCTCTTCATTTTTAACCTCTATCCACGATATCCTCATCATTCGCCTGTAACACCACATTTCGAACGCTTCTAACATTTTCTTTTCCGCAACACCCACCGTCCATGTTTCGAACCCGTATAGCGTCGCGCTCTAAACATACATCTTCAACAATCTTTCGAATTTTCCAAATTAACCGTACGCGAGCATAGAAGTGACTTCTTTTTATTGAAGAAGACTTGACCCTGCGCTATCCTCTGCTTTATATCCCTACTACTTCTTCCGTCCTGACTTGTCTGACTTCCTAGATACCGAAAATCAACCACTTTTAATTTTTAGCCTCCTATCTTTTTATATACTGTTTTGTCAATACCGCCTCTTATTTGAACCTATCTCTAACTCCCCCTTGCTAAATGCTAATACGGCTATACCATCTGCAAATCTAAGCATACTAATCTTTTGCCCCTGTATACCTATCCCTGCAATTGTCCTGTCTTTAATGATGTTGATCGCGTCTTCGATGTACAGATTAAGAAGTAGCGGTAACGGTGTGCGTCCTGGTCTGACTCCCTTCCTAATATTTACTACTCTACGTGCAAGATAGAAAAAAATACTTACTTCAAGAACTGCGGCAGGAAAGAGTCCCAGCCCCTTGGATTTTCCTTAAGCGTGAGATACAGTTCGAATGTGCTGGCGGTGTATGGATCGCACTTCACCGTACTTAAGCGTCTGCTGTCTTCGTCGCTAGCGAAATTGAAGTAAAGGGTGCAACCTCGAAGCCCGCAAGGTTCAGAATCTGCCATCACTAGGACGTCCCTTGATATTCTTTGAAGAAGACCGCACGGTAAAAGAACCTCACCGCAAGACAGGTGAGTCCTTTTGGCCGCACGGAGCTCTTCTTCTAACCGTTTCGACAAAGCGCTGACTATTGGCTCGTTATCTTCGTCTAAGGTTGGATCGTACTCGTAATCGAGTTCTGGAACAAAAGAGAAGTGACGATGAGCAAAATGGAAAAGAAAATTGACACTCCTATAACTCTCACAGATTATAAAAAACAATTCAAACGACTAAATAAGATCCGCTTCAGCTAACAATGAATCTATTTTCCCAGAAAGGAAATAAGGAGAGACAAAAGGAACAAATAAATCCAAACGAAATCAAAGAGGCTCTCTTCTGGAGTTACAGTTTCTGAAAGGCATTGTGTTCATTATTATGATTACCATTGCTGAACAGTAATTGCACCGTGTATTCGCAAAAGTTGCAGGCCATTCGCCGAAAACAGTGACAACAAATGCGCTTGTGTTCTCCGCAACAATAATAGCCAATATACGGTGCCGGTAATAATAGGTTGGCGTACGGCAGTGTGTCAAAGCAAAATCAGCTGTGCGAACAGAACAAGCAGCGCTTTCTATAGCGGGACGGTAACGACCTAGCGTGACCTATGTTCTCGGGTAGCAACAGTGAACGTTTTCACTTTAGCTGCCGGCTTTCCATCCTTTTCACTAACGTTTACGCTCCTCGTCCAACAACAGCTGCGCTCTATCGTTTGGCTACAAGCCCCCTCATACGTACACTAGTCAACTTGTTCCGCGTTCGAAATCGCGGATACATATATATATGTATGGATTGTATATACATATACAATGTATTTGCCATTGCCAAATCCCAGCGTTTTTGTAAATGAGAAAATGTCAGGATATTGAAAATTAGTCGTTCAGAAGCAGTTAGCAAGGAAAAAAAGCAAGAGCGCCTACCACTAAACAACTAGCTAAGGTGTCCACTATCAGTGGACGATGCCTATCAAGTATTCTAGTGGGCTATTTAAAATCTCTTCAAAGTTTACTCAGTTGTATGGCACTGATATATTGAAGGAACTAATGTAAAATGATGTGGAACTACAACTCTAGACCCAATGAATTTTTGATGGTTTCACGAACGTTAATTGGAAATTAGAAGCACCACAAACTAAGGAGGTACCTAGGTGGTTTGTGATGTAATGAGGATTGAGGACAGTTTTTTAACAACAGAAGCCTTCCGAAATTTTATNTGGGTGAAATATTGCTGCCCCAGCATTTACCTCAGTAATCCAAGGAAACCACTGAAAATTTTGGATCGAGGTAGACGAACCTAGAATCAAACCTGTGTCCTCGTGAATGCGAAGTAGTGGTCTAAACTTCTAGGTCATGCCGCTCAGTACTTTGATATAAAAGAGAACTTGGGTGAAATATTGCTGCCCCAGCATTTACCTCAGTAATCCAAGGAAACCACTGAAAATTTTGGATCGAGGTAGACGAACCTAGAATCAAACCTGTGTCCTCGTGAATGCGAAGTAGTGGTCTAAACTTCTAGGTCATGCCGCTCAGTACTTTGATATAAAAGAGAACTTGGGTGAAATATTGCTGCCCCAGCATTTACCTCAGTAATCCAAGGAAACCACTGAAAATTTTGGATCGAGGTAGACGAACCTAGAATCAAACCTGTGTCCTCGTGAATGCGAAGTAGTGGTCTAAACTTCTAGGTCATGCCGCTCAGTACTTTGATATAAAAGAGAACTTGGGTGAAATATTGCTGCCCCAGCATTTACCTCAGTAATCCAAGGAAACCACTGAAAATTTTGGATCGAGGTAGACGAACCTAGAATCAAACCTGTGTCCTCGTGAATGCGAAGTAGTGGTCTAAACTTCTAGGTCATGCCGCTCAGTACTTTGATATAAAAGAGAACTTGGGTGAAATATTGCTGCCCCAGCATTTACCTCAGTAATCCAAGGAAACCACTGAAAATTTTGGATCGAGGTAGACGAACCTAGAATCAAACCTGTGTCCTCGTGAATGCGAAGTAGTGGTCTAAACTTCTAGGTCATGCCGCTCAGTACTTTGATATAAAAGAGAACTTGGGTGAAATATTGCTGCCCCAGCATTTACCTCAGTAATCCAAGGAAACCACTGAAAATTTTGGATCGAGGTAGACGAACCTAGAATCAAACCTGTGTCCTCGTGAATGCGAAGTAGTGGTCTAAACTTCTAGGTCATGCCGCTCAGTACTTTGATATAAAAGAGAACTTGGGTGAAATATTGCTGCCCCAGCATTTACCTCAGTAATCCAAGGAAACCACTGAAAATTTTGGATCGAGGTAGACGAACCTAGAATCAAACCTGTGTCCTCGTGAATGCGAAGTAGTGGTCTAAACTTCTAGGTCATGCCGCTCAGTACTTTGATATAAAAGAGAACTTGGGTGAAATATTGCTGCCCCAGCATTTACCTCAGTAATCCAAGGAAACCACTGAAAATTTTGGATCGAGGTAGACGAACCTAGAATCAAACCTGTGTCCTCGTGAATGCGAAGTAGTGGTCTAAACTTCTAGGTCATGCCGCTCAGTACTTTGATATAAAAGAGAACTTGGGTGAAATATTGCTGCCCCAGCATTTACCTCAGTAATCCAAGGAAACCACTGAAAATTTTGGATCGAGGTAGACGAACCTAGAATCAAACCTGTGTCCTCGTGAATGCGAAGTAGTGGTCTAAACTTCTAGGTCATGCCGCTCAGTACTTTGATATAAAAGAGAACTTGGGTGAAATATTGCTGCCCCAGCATTTACCTCAGTAATCCAAGGAAACCACTGAAAATTTTGGATCGAGGTAGACGAACCTAGAATCAAACCTGTGTCCTCGTGAATGCGAAGTAGTGGTCTAAACTTCTAGGTCATGCCGCTCAGTACTTTGATATAAAAGAGAACTTGGGTGAAATATTGCTGCCCCAGCATTTACCTCAGTAATCCAAGGAAACCACTGAAAATTTTGGATCGAGGTAGACGAACCTAGAATCAAACCTGTGTCCTCGTGAATGCGAAGTAGTGGTCTAAACTTCTAGGTCATGCCGCTCAGTACTTTGATATAAAAGAGAACTTGGGTGAAATATTGCTGCCCCAGCATTTACCTCAGTAATCCAAGGAAACCACTGAAAATTTTGGATCGAGGTAGACGAACCTAGAATCAAACCTGTGTCCTCGTGAATGCGAAGTAGTGGTCTAAACTTCTAGGTCATGCCGCTCAGTACTTTGATATAAAAGAGAACTTGGGTGAAATATTGCTGCCCCAGCATTTACCTCAGTAATCCAAGGAAACCACTGAAAATTTTGGATCGAGGTAGACGAACCTAGAATCAAACCTGTGTCCTCGTGAATGCGAAGTAGTGGTCTAAACTTCTAGGTCATGCCGCTCAGTACTTTGATATAAAAGAGAACTTGGGTGAAATATTGCTGCCCCAGCATTTACCTCAGTAATCCAAGGAAACCACTGAAAATTTTGGATCGAGGTAGACGAACCTAGAATCAAACCTGTGTCCTCGTGAATGCGAAGTAGTGGTCTAAACTTCTAGGTCATGCCGCTCAGTACTTTGATATAAAAGAGAACTTGGGTGAAATATTGCTGCCCCAGCATTTACCTCAGTAATCCAAGGAAACCACTGAAAACTTTGGATCGGAGTAGACGGACCCGGAATCTAATCAGTGTCCTCTCGAATGCTAAACAAGGGTCTAAATCTAACCCTCGTAGTCATTCTGGATATCGCTGTAGTATCCAGCACAGCGAATTATACCACAATGTATAGTGATGATTACAGATTGGATCATAATTTCAACTTTGTTTTTGCTCTGTTTTTATGCATGCAGCGGGTGTATGTCACTATTTATTTAATTTTGGTGTTTAATAATCAAAATTATACAAAAGACTGCTTACTTCAAGGATAGTTCCTTTTTACAACATTTCGCTATTCATTGTGATTTATGTATGTACCCGCTTACATAAAAGATGTGCGAAGTTTTTTCGTGTTGTCTTTTTATTTTTCGATTTCAATTTTAAATTTGCAATGTAAAATAAATATTTATTTTTTACTACACGTGCCTCGCTATAAAGCGTCAGAGATTTATAAATATTGGTACACACGAACGAGGCACATGTACCTAACACCTATACCCAGATGCAGTTAAAAAATTTTCTATTACTGGGTGCTAATAACATTTCCACCTGTGCTATCCAATAATATTATTGTGGATTTATAATAGTTTCATTCATGGGTAATCATTTAAAATAAGTGAAATACGTTTGGAGCAGGGCTCCTAAAAGAAAAATTTAAGGAAGTCCAAGTTAAAGTGGACTCGATATAGTTTGTAGCACATCTAGTGGTATCGGCATGGCCTACAGGTTTAGACCATTGCTTAGCATACCCTGGTCCAAGTTTTTCTGTGGTATCCCGGGATTATTTAGGTAAATGCCGGAGCAGATAATAATCTTTAACTCTCTTCTGTCTTCATTTCGTCCATTTCATCTTTCTCACCCCAATCACCACGCACCCCTTCCACGATTCCTAAAAGTATGCTGAAGTGGGTTTTTCGCTTTACCCTCCGGCGTAGTCCATAAGAAGCGCCTGTCCACCAGCATTAGGGTACCCGGCAAAACCACTTATCCGGTGCATCTTGATTACATACATATCAAAAGCAGAAACAGGATTTTAGAAGGACAGAGAGAGACCTATGTTAGATTTTATTGTTCTCAAACAGTTAGAGATATACGTTCTTCTGGTTTTCTTGATATGAGAAGGCTGGCTCAAGATCGGAAGAAGCAGAGGTGCGTGTCCAAGCAGTTTTCAGACTCAAGATCTTATAATGATGATGATGATGATGATATGAGCTACTCTAATTTCAAATGCAACATTTGATCATCTGACTGAATGTTTAGTTACTTAGCTGGAGAAAACAACGCTGCCTTTTTATTGTTAGTGACTTAGTCGTAATCCATGCACAATGTCTAATTTTACAGATTGGCTTGTAAATGAGCTTTTTTTAATGCCTAATCCCCAAAAAGGATTACATCAGCTTATTCGTATTCTGGAATATTCCCAAAACGTACTATAATTTTAATCTCACGCCGATAGCGATACCACATACTTATTAAGCACATAGAAAATTACACGTTTTGTATTATGGGTGAGTAAATTTTCCTGAGGCGATCATTAAGGTGCTTATCTAATTTCTACTTGGAAAAGTGTGTAACAAACGTTTTGTAGGTAAGCACGGTGTATCTGTGCATGTATATGTATATGTAATTGTATGTGCGAGGACGTGTATGTAAATGTCTATTTCTATGTACAATACAGCACGCAAATCGAATGATGCAAGTATATAAGAGCGTTTGCTGCTTCAGTCCAAGGTCAAGCTTGCTTCGACTCCTACGAATTACCGGCCGGCTTGACAGCTCGCCGGTTCGCCTGGGAGACTTGTCGGCACCAACAACTGAAACTCATATTCCTGTTCAGGGAGCAGACGAACTCCACGTCAAACTACATATTTTTAGAAAATAGCCAGGTTTTTTCAAACAGAGATTAAGAAAATGTGGATCACGTTCCCGATTAGTTGATTCATATTTCCTTCATTTCGTAAAATATGAATCAATGTCATTTAAGATTTCTTTTCCGTGAATCTATGATAAAGCCCTAAATAAGAACAAAATCATTTATCTGCTTGATAAAATGTTTTTAATGAAACATGCGTGATGACGGCCCCTAAGAACATACGTATCTAAATTGTTTCATACATATTTATATGATTAAAAGTGTACCAGAATTATTTTCATGACTGACAGATAGACGTATAAGTGAATATTACATCAAAGAATAAATCGATTAAAAATAGTAACCAATGAATAGTAAATAGTATCGCCGACGGTGGGCGCGGCGGAAAAGAAAAGGTTTGAAGCGTTCGAAATGTGGTGTTACAGGCGAATGATGAGGATATTAGACAGAATAGGAGAACAAAGGATTCTATAGAAGTCAATAAGAAATAGGCGAGATAGGTTGGTAGGACACCTTCTCAGGCATGAAGATCTAGTCAGAGACATATTAGAGGCAGAAACGGGAGTTAAGAGCAGTAGAGGTAGACCTGGACTTGTTTACCATTCGCAAATAGTTAAGGATGTGGGTTGTTCTAGTTTTGAGAAATGCGAAG